CTCCAGTAGCGAGAGGGGCGAACCGCGACGGAGATGTCGGGAAGCCCACTACTGAGGAGGGCGCAGGTGTACACTGCACCGTGGCTATGAGGCGCCGCGGGGATGCGAGGCGTCCGGGGGGGACGAAGCACGACGCTGGCAGGAAAGGTCAGCGTAGTGGCGGTTAAGGGCGGTGGTGTAAGGGCACAACGAGGAGGTATGACCGTCCTGACTGCATAGCAAACACCCACGTCGACCCATAATAGCCGCGCGCTCCTTAGCGGAAAGGACACCGCGAGGAGGAACAAAGCCCTGAGGGAGGTCCTGCTGAGGGACCTCGGGGGGCGACGCGCCAGCGTGCCCGGGAAAGGGTGTAGAGGATAAGCTGGAGGCGCTCAACCATAGGGAGAGTAGGGTCCTCCAGGTGGTGATGGACGGCATCGCCGAGGTCGAGGTCATCGCTATGATCACCCTCTAGCGACGACGGGGCACCAGCGTCCTACGCCCCATACTCGAGCACGCTGAAGCGGCGCGAGAAGTGGCGGCCCTGCTGCGTGGGACGGCGGGGGCGACCGCGGAAAGGGGAACGGCGCTGGGAAGTGTCGTGAGAGGAGGAGGAGGCGTAACCCGTGCGCTGAGGCTGGGAGGAGGAGGCGGGGTGAAGACGGGCTCGCATCCGCTCATGGTTCCTGGCGGCCTCGTAAGCCTGCGGGGCTGATGTGAACTTGTACCACCATAGCTCGGAGCGGTACTCGAGCGGGAGGCTGGCCAAGAAACGATCGATAAGGGCAGCCTCGAGAAGGAACGCCACATCACAAACGAGACGGGCGTCCTGAAAGACCTGGATGTGGCGATCCAGGCCGGCAGCGCCACCAAAGCCGGACCAACGTGTAGTGACGACACGCTCGAAGGCGTCAATCACGTCATATCGGGTTCCGAAGCAATCCTCGAGGAACGCCTGGAAATCCATGAAGGTCGGAGTCCGACCCTCACGCAGGGAGTAAGCATAGAAATCCTCCCAGGCGTCGAAAGGAGCACCACGCAGGCGCGTGGAGAGGTGACCCACCCACGTGTCGGGTGTGGCGCCCATGAGCTGGAGTGTGCGGGTGGCAGACTGCAGCCACCTAGACACTCGTATGCTTGTACCGTCATACAAGGGAATGTCCGACAAGCGAATGAGTGGTGCGCCACCGTTTTGGCGGCGAGGGGAACGGGGAGCAGGGGACTGGGCTACGACGGAATAAGTCGGCGCAGGTCCTGGAGGAGGAGGCGCAGCTGACTGTACGCCCGGGCCGCATGGTGGAGCGGCGGGGGAAACAACAGCAGGCTGCGCGGGAGCTGCGGTAGAAGAGGTCGCAGCAACCAAGGGGATGGGGAGGAGGTAGGATGGAGATGGGTAGGGTGCAGGGCGAGGGAAGCGAGCCTGCATGGAAGGAAGAATAGAGGACGAAGGGTGTGCGCCGGAAGGCGCGGCCACCTGTGAGGGTGGGGGTGGCTGAAGGCGTGAGAGGGCGAGGTCGGTCCGGAGCTGGGTGATCGCGTCTTCGAGACCTCGAATGTAGGTCGAGCGAGGTGTGGCAGGAGGAGACGCACGAGCGGCGCGAGGCATCCCACAAGGGGTAGAGCCAGATGGCGTTGCGGTCGTGCGAAGAGGGGGGATAAGTGGGGCACCAGGAAAAATTGAGACCATGGTAGCAGGTTGTGGTCCCGTGGCTGTCGTGACCAGAATCTAGGCGGGTGCGCCCGTGGACTGAGGGAGGGCCTGGCTCGTGGCGGCCGTTGTGCTAGGGGCGTGGACAGTCACCAAGATGGTCGGGTCGGGGGCGGCGAAAGAGGCGGCTCCGCAGTGGCCACCCTGTCGGAGGATGGGGGACCCAGACTGGGAGCCAGGAGATGGAGGACACGCAGCATCCTGGAGTTGCTGCACACCGGCGGCAAGGGTCGCCACCTGCGCCTGTAAGGGCACGAGGGTCGCGAGTTGCGCCTGGATGGGCGCAAGGGTCGCGAGTTGCGCCTGGATGGGCGCAAGGAGAGAGGTGAGGAGGGTGTGCAAATCCCCCTGCGGCTAATGGCCCTGGTCCGCCGGCACGGGTGTGGAGCCCGATGCCGTGGTCATCGCCGTTTCGGCGGCGTGTGACACACCGTCGGCCATGGGGAGATGACGGACCGGACTGGAGGGGGCCAGAAGAGGTCCGCGTGAGCGGAGGGCATAGGGGGAAGTCCGCGGTAGAAAGCGGTGAACGGCGCTAGCAAGGCTAGCACGAGCGTCGTCGAAGGGGGAGGGGTGGTTCGGGTCCAGGGTGCCCGAAGAGGACGGGGAAGTAGAGGGGTTTTTAAGAATCCTAAACCCTACAAAAACCCTAAGAAAACCCTTACCGAGGTTTAAGTGGTTAGGGTAGGGTACCGGTGACCTAATCAAGAAAGTAAAAGAGCAAGCATAAGGGGGGGAAGGCGGGAGAAAAATAAATAAACAGCGAGATTTCGAGAGAAAATTAAAATAAATAAGGAAATAAATAAATAATAAAAATAATTAAAGAAATAAGTAAAAAGATGTGAAGGGAAAACAATATTTATTTTTTTGAAATTTTTCGGCAGCATTTCCCTACCCCCCACGGGGTCAAGAATGTGCCAAACGGAAGGGAGAAACCAAGGTGAGCACACTAGGTGTCAAGATGCCGCAAATAAAAAAAGAAATTTCAGAAAATAAATAAAGAAATAATAAATAAATAAATAAATAAATAAATAAATAAAGAAGTAAATAAGTGAATGAGGAGGTGGGGAGGAATGAAGTATCTAATTTGTCAAAAATTTTGGCAGCATTTCGTTACCCCCATGGGGTCGAAGTGTGCCGAAAAGACTAAGTAAGAGAAAATAAAAAAATTCCGGCAGCACTTCGTTACCCCCACGGGGTCAAAACGTGTGCCGAAAGCAAGAAAGGCTAAAACCTAATCAGATTTAGGGTTGCCGCCAAAAAAGTCGAATTTTTAGAAAAAAAAATAATAATAAATGAAATAAATCAGAAAATCAAAAAAGAGGGTGGGAAAAAGATGATTCAAATTTGTGGAAAAAAAAAAGGAGAAAAGATAATCAAAAGAGAGATAGAAAGAAGAAAAACAGAAAAAAAAAATTGAAGTAGGGGGGGAATGAGAGTGAAAAAGTAAAGGAGAAGAGAAAGAAATAGATGGGGGAGAGAAAAAAAAGGAAGTGGGAGGTGGGGGGATGATGTGGTGGTAGTTGGGGGAGAGGAGGGTTGGGGAAAGGTGGAGAGGGATCAAGAAGCAAGGAGAGAAGGGGGAAGGAAAAGAAGAGATGAAGTAAATAGAGTAAAAGAATGGGAGGTGGGAGAAAAGGTGGGGTAGGGGGAGGGGTATGAGTAAGAGGAGAGAGAGAGAGAGGTATGGAGAGTGGGTTAGTAGAGGAAGGGGGGGAGAGAGAAAAGATACCTGGCCCTTGGTGTCTCCAAGGGCACAAGGTACACCAAGACCAGGAGGGTCTTGGCCTGCGCTGCTGCAGCCAGTTGGAGGAGGGAGGGGGCTGAGATCTTGATCAGCCCCTACTGCAAATCTACAGATCTAGGGTATGCTGTGTGAGCATACCCTCACCGGTGTAGAGCAGCCCCTGAAACACAGGGGGTCTTCAAGTCCAT